AGTGGGCGGACTGACACCTGGAACCAACAATGGATTAAATCAATAAAAAATTACTAGGGGAATGTCATTGTCACGTGCACGTAGGTGCCATACACCACATAAATGTCTGTTTCTACTACAAAGAAATCATGTGTTCTACTTTGATAATGAATTTTTTTAAATGCAAATACGGTCACTCAACTTTTGAACCATTCAGTACGAAGTGGTTTTTGGAGCCCAATAAAATAACATTACGACTTAAACGCAGTTACCCACTTCTGCAGCAAAAAATAGACAGGGTGGAAGTGCCTACACACGTAGGTTAACAATTATTGCAATATAATAAAGCACTAAAGAACTCTTATTTTTTATAATACCCATCTAGAAAAAGGAAGAAAAAAAACACAAACCTGTGTTGAATGATAAAGTCTTGTATACCCGACCCTGTCGTAATCCACTTTGAACTGATAAACACCCCAGACATCTGGAACTTTGAATACAGCCTCATAGACTCCATTGGGTTTCTTTTGTAAAGTTGTGCGTATAAAAGGATCGATTCGCACAAACTCTAACTGCACATCATTTGCTTCGAAAGGCTGCCATTTGCCATTCTTTAACTCTTCAATTTCAATTCTGTATACCTGAAACATGAATAATTATGCTATACTGATTTATTGGCTAGAATAAATCTCGAGCAATATTCATCGTATCATCAGAGTAAAGTTTAAACCTCAAGGTTGCAGCCTGATATTTCTTATATAATGTCAAAGTCATTCATGACCATATTTTTTTTTTCTGAATGTGGGCTTAACCTCCTTCCAGGTCCCTGTGCCTAGGAGGCGCGCGGGGTATGTGGGACTTGACGATCTGCAGATGTTGGGAGCAGACCGCGGGCCCAAGGACGTTCTAGGGGCCTACCGCACTAAACGACTCCCCTGCACTCTTAGATTCACTCCCTCACCCCTACACTCTACGCAGGGTCAGAACCCGGTCGGATTAAAAGGGTTCCCGCGGTCAACACTACAACCAGACACACAGCGCCACCCCTGGGACGCCCGACCGACGGGTCGTCGAAGCGATAGTCGACGATCAATGACGCAGATCTCCGCGGTACGACAGCTCCACCAGGCCGCCCGGGCGATGCGGCTGGTGTTTCGGAATACTCCGCTGGATCAGAACCAGCTTGCCAGGCCGGAACGAGATACACCGCCGACCGGATAAGTCATTCATGACTATGAGTTAAGTAGGTATTTTAGAAGAAGTATTGGTATCCTGCTTGCAGGGATTGAGCACCGGCATGTTTTTATTGTTTTCAATGATAGGGCACAATACTCACAACAGTGTCTGTAATGGTATAGGCACTGGATGGTTCCTTCTCTCCTTGTCTGTGATGGTCGACATTGCGCACGCGTAAACGCCCACGCTCACCAAACACCCATTCAGTAAGGCGAATCGCGAGAATCTTGTTGCCTGATACATCTGACTTTGTTTTGTCACCCTGTATTAGAAAATATTACGTCAATTCAATAAAACAAGACTAGGCAGGAAATTCAATCAAGTTGATTGTTTAGTTTTATACTTACATGTACTTTTGTAACAGGAGAATTGAAGGCCTCATCAGAGAAGAAGAATAACGATCCACTGAAAACAATACGAGCATTGTTTCTTGCTTGCAGAGCTGCAATCAGTACTGTCTTACGGCCAACTGCATGGGGGTACTCTTTCACCTATCATAAACAATTTTATTTTAAAGTTAATAGTTGGTAATTGAATGGCACTAGATAAAAATATCAAATATGTATGATCATGACCATGTAAAGATAAAAATTCTGGAATTGAGCTAAATTTCTAGAGTTATTCAAGCACTACAATACAAATATTTTTCAATATTTTTTCTTAGGAAATGTGGCCACAGTGTAGGCATGGACATGCTGAATTTTCATAATTTTGTTTGTAATTTCAAAAACAGGGTAGTTTTCAATTAGGTTTTTGTACTTCGAAAATTAGTCATTGATAAACAGATATGGTATTTTTTAATTTCTTAAAAAGGACTTTTATTTCCAGATCTTATAAAAATTTTATCAAAATTGTTTCAGTAGTATGGTTTTATAAATATAAATAACTGTTAAAAGTATATTATCCTAAATGAAACTATATATTATCCTAAATGATAATAAAGTTTATTTTGTTTTTTAGTTTCAGTTTATAAATTTAATAATGTATAGTATTTTATTGATGTTCCATTATAATGTAGCTTTAAAGAATACAAGCTGTGATTAATAACCAGCCAAATTGAAGGTCTGCTGTCTTTTCTTTGTACTGCTAGCTAATAGAAATGGATGCCTTGTTATTTGAAATATGAAAATGTACCTAAATGTCCTAAACTAACATCACATTGGACAAAAACTAAGAAAAAAGACAGCCTCAAAGAATAATCGAAAGTTAAGCAGTATGATAAGATTAATTTATTTAGAGTACATTTTTTATTAAAAGCCTAACCTGACTCTTAGGGTTGTAACTGTAGGCAGTCGAATCAGCTGATAGAATAGGCAAAACCAAGCTGTTATCCTTGTCCACAATAAGTCCAGTGCCTTCAAATAGCAGAGGCTGTGTATTCTGTTCTCCTACAATTGTGGGAGCCTTGATTAGGTTCTTAGGTGATACTACAATGCGAGTGTGGTCTCCCTCATCAGTCACATCATAGTTGAAGTGGTCTATGACTGCTGCAGATTCCTCGTCCATCTAAAATTAGATTTAATTACATTATTTTTAAGCTGCTATTTTTTTTAAATATATATGTGTCCTGCACTGAAACATATAAACAGAGTCAACAAATGTAACATCTAAGGGACAATTCTATAATATTGGCTATTGTATAATGCTACTTCACAGTAGATTTAAGTGAGGTGGTAATACCAACCCAGGCTTACAATATGCCCTATCACTAGTAAGTTATGCATGAATTATAATGTTTGTGAATATCTGATATCAGAGAGAAGTAACAAAAGCACATTGGATCCAAGCTAAACAATCCCTCTGCATAATTTCTAAGAATGTGGCATTAGAAACTAAGTTTCAAAGATTTTTTCTGAATTTTTGCAGCAATTTTAAACTCATTTCACTTGAAATATCTTTCTAAGACTAGTTGTGGCAGTGAGTACAGTCACCTGTTTGTTGTAGTGAAGTGACAGTTGGGATAAAATTGTTCGACCTGACTAGAAGGATCATTTAGGTAAGCAGTATTTGTTTAATTTCTCTAAATCTATTCAGATTTTCTTAACATATATCTAGATCTTGATCTATCTCATTGTGATGATGAGAAATAAGCAATGTTTATAATGATATATGATATGCTACTGGTTAAGATTTATGAATGAAAACCCTAAGACATTAATTACCTCAAATCCACATTCTGAAGCGATTTCTCTATATACGTCTCCAGCCGCGGCGTTTCCAGCCATAAGAAGGTTTCCGCCATCATCTATGAATTTGGTTATGGCCTCACTGTCTACCTGTCCACCAAACTCGAGCACGGAAGGAGCGAATACTATGAGATTCTTGTATAAATATTCTCCGTATTTTGACAGGACAAGATTTGCATCATCCGCAAGTTTGAATGTTAAGCCATAGCCGCGTTCTATAAAATAACATTAGTAAAATTAAGCGCCGAATAAACACGTAAATATATAATAATAATGTGACAACCGGTGTCTTGATAAACTGTATAGTTCAACCATACCTTGTAATGATTTGAAGAATTGTGAATGCGTTTCTTTAATATTTAAGTTATCTATTAGAACTAAAGTTTCATGATCCGCGCAAACGAGCGTTAAAAAAGTGATCAATGTCCCTAAAATTATCGTGGTTTTCATTTTGATTTTCCAACCAACCTAGCTTTTTTAAATGACGTGTACTTGTTTGACTAAATTTTATACTTTTTTTGGTACAATTTCCCTTTTTAGGAAAGGCAACGGGATCTAAACCCATATAGCCTTGTCTGTTCTATATAATTTTTGAAATAAATGTTCAAAAAGGCCGAAGCTATGTTTTGTATGATTTATATTATATCCTTAAATAAAAATTTCATTAAGGCCGAAGCCAAGTCTTATTACGTAAATTCCAATCCTTGTAAAATGGCAAATTCGAGTTTTACTGTCAAATCCAAATCGACTTAAATCATAGACTTTTTTTTTGGTACAATTTTTCCTTGTTAAGAAAGGCAAAGAGATCTAAGCCCGTACAGCCTTTTAAATCATAGACAATTGAATGATTGCTTATTTTGATCGTTCATATAGGCAAAGAAAACTCAGTCCATACAATGAAGTCTTGAACAACACAATAGATTAGTACACAACAGAATAGTGGATTTAATGTCTACAAAACATTTTTTGGTGTTCTTCCAAAAAAGTAATATTAGCCTCAATGAATTTTCACAGTTTTTACTAAGAGATTTTTGTTTTTCATCTCGCTTGATCTACATTTATCTGTCTTAGGTTCTTGTTAAAAAAAACAAGATTAATAGGCTATTTTTTTTTTGCCTATACCATTTGGAAAAAAAATTGAGCGCTGTGCTTGTTATCTCTATTTTGGAAACTTTTTGGCGAGAACACGAGGGCGAAGTTGTGTGAATTATTTTATTAGTGTCAATTTTGTGTTTCTTCAGGTTTAAATGTGTAGTAACCATGGTTTATTAACTGTTTAGTATCTGTAAAAGTGCACAAATCTGGGAAAATAAAACGAAGCCGCTGGATGTAGCTTCTCGGGATCCTCGAAAAATCCACTGAAAAAGTCACAGTAAATAACCACCATTTTATTAAGATTATATTTTATTCCATTACATTTCAACTCATTTTATGCCAAGTAATTAATGTTCCAAATTAATACACTTTATTTTATTTCACTTCATATTTAAACAATATATAATTTAAATATATATAAAAGAATAGGCTTTACAGTACGAAACCTTTGCCTTTCCAGTTAGTAAAATAGAACTACTACATACGTACGGTGCCCTAATCCTATCTCTATTTTATTTTGTTGTTTGACGTTTAATAAAATGGATTTATGTTTGTGTCGTTAAAAGTGCCAATAAAATTATTAGATTAAATTAAGTTTGTTGTGTTGTGAGGACGTTTAGAGGACGGAAAATAGTAGTAAATCGTGCTACGATGATAATATCACGGTCTAAACTTCGCTCTACAGCGGAAGTTTGCGCTGATTGTGGGGCATCAGGTGTGCCGTGTTCTAGTTTTGAAAAGTTTTGATTAATTCATCCGGTGATGCTGATTGGATTGTTATGTGGGTACAGATCCTTCGTGGGCGTCGATCAACCGTGGGCTGCTGCTTTGTGCGGAGTGCTGTAGCGTTCACCGGAGTATGGGGCGTCATATTTCTCACGTTAAGTCTCTGAGGCAGGGCTCCTGGCCGCCTTCGCTGCTTAATGTACGTAAAAATTATTTGCTTATTTAAAAAAAAAACTCAATTCATTAGACAATTATTGAAAATAAAAGAAATACCCTATAAGCTTAAATTAATATATTTTAGCGGTGAACTCTTACAATTGATGAACTTGTTCCCAAACTTAAAAGAACAACTTTTGTATACTTGAATATTTAAATTAACTAATTTCGGAATAAATGAAATAGATTTAAAAAAAAAAGATTAGTCATAATTTAAATTAAAACTAGTAAGAAATGATTTGTGTAAAATTTCATGTTTCTATTCAAGATTTATGTGTTTAAATAAATAAATAAATAATAATAAATTAAATATTCATTGTATGATAATTAAAATCTATTTTATTAACAAATATTCTTAAGGTATACTTTTAGGAAAATAGAAAATAACTTTTCCAGAAACATATATTGTATGTTATTCAGTTACTACAATACTTACTAATCTAAAACAGATGGTCCAATCGCTGACAGCTCAGAATGTAAACAGCATTTGGGAACATTCTTTACTTGACACTTCAGCCCCTAAGCATTTACGGAAGAAACCGCAACCCAAAGATCCCTTACAGTAAGAATAATGTTCATTTATTTCCTTGTCTGTCTGTATTTTATGTACTTTTAACAAAATGTGGCTTTATAATTCGGTGGTATATTTATGGATTCTTTCATCAAATGATAACTAAAATTACATTTATGGTTTAATCTCTTGTTTCATTTTCATACTTTTCATAATTTTCTCATTATAGTTTTTTTTCTTAAATTATATGTTTCATAGTCATCTCTGACCACAGAAAACTGTAAAGTAATTGAAATGACAGAAATTATAAAATGACATTAATAAATTTGAGATTTAACCCTTAAAGGAGTTTTAATTATGTCTACAACTCACAAAGACTTTAAAAAAACTAAAATGGTAAGTTGGCACTTTTGGAGATTGGCCATGACACGAATAGACAATCTATTATCAATCTATCTATTACTTATTACTGCGCGCTAAAATACTGTGATGTGACTAAAATTAAAACATAAAATAGGTGGTAAAATAGACCCTTAAGGTATAAAATTGACATATTATGCCATTTCAATTATGAAACCTAATTAACATTTATTTTCTTAATTCAATTTTCTTCATTTATAGTTGAAGAAGATGTAATATTAACAATGGCTGGTGGCATAAATTAATTTAAAAAAAACTTTGAATTCAACTCCTTTTTAATACATTTTAAAATTTAATTAATTTCTAATATTGTCATTAATGGTTGCGAGCTGAAAGAAGCCACAATTTAACAAACATGAACACCCTATTCTATTTGAATACACATTCTTATCTTATTATAATTTTAAAACAATTAATTCAACAAATTGAAATTTTTGCACTGAACTATTAATGATATTGAACTAATATATTATCATTTTTAATAACTTATCATTAGCAGTAAAATTTTTCATTCATGCAAGTATTTCCTTCAGTCCAGTTAAATCTGAGTTCATCCTGGCCAAGCATCTGCGGCTCGCGTATGTACTGCGTGCGCGGCGCGACGAGCCCCCCAGCGAGCTAGGAAGGCAACTCCACTCTGCTGTGCGGAGTTCTTCATTAGACACAGCAATGCGACTGCTCGCACAGGGTGCAGATCCTAATTATTACAATCAGGTATGGTCTTTTTTTTGTGCTAGTGAAGTTGGACAGTCAAGCACTCAATCTATCTGATCATGACCCCATAGCTCACCAACTAACAAATGTAGTGCCAATCCTGAAGACGCACAATGGTCCTATCAGCTCTGCCAACAAAAAGCAAGCCATTTAATTTGATTGTAATTTGTGTATACTAAAATATTGTAAATTAATTTGATGTTTATGGTTGTCACAGGAAAAAGGGAGTTCGTGCTTACATGTGGCCTGCCGTGCTGGTCAACCATCGCAGGCCGAGCTGCTGGTGGCCTGGGGCGCGGACCCCACCACTAAGGATCAGTCCGGAAGTACACCTTCAGATTGTGCTAGGTATGCTCTAAGCAATAATTTGTTTTGTAGGACTACATAAATTTTATTTTGAACTTGTTTATATTTCTACTAAAATAATGCATTTTGCGTTAATACCAGGTGTGGTACTAGTATAATATTCGATTTGCAGTCAATATGACTGATATTACTGAATAAAAAAAAAACTGGTAAGCAATTTCTAAAATACGCTGTTCATAATAAATTACTCTTAAAAGTTCAGATCCACCATACAAGCTATTTATCAAAAATCGCTTTATTGGAACGAGACATTCTTATCTCTTTTTATTTCCACAAAAAAATACATTTCAGATTATCAACAGGTAAATCTAAATTATTTCTTAATACGTTTTTTACCTGAGCTCATAGATCACACTTCGACACGTTCTCCCTTGACCCAGAACTGGATGGTTTCATGTAACCTTCACTAAGCATATTTATTAAATGGGATATTTATTATCCGTTCACTGAACACTCGGAGTGTGCTCCACAGACAGGGGGGGCATGCGGAGTTGGCGGAGCGCATGACGGAGCTGGTGTACGAGGCCACGGACCGCATGATCCACTTCCTGACCGGCGAGAAGCCCGACCACGCGGCCGGCAGACACTACATCGTGCCGCGAGCCCACGACACGCACGAGATGACCGACGTCGCCAAAGCCGCCAGAGGGAAACTGCAATTGGTCAGTGCAAACATCGAACCACCTAATAGACATCCTATAAATGTTGCAGCGCAGCATATTTTTTTTTTTTGCTCATATGGGTGGACGAGCTCACAGCCCACCTAGTGTTAAGTGGTAACTGAAGCCCAATCCACAACGTAAATGCGCCACCCACCTTGAGATATAAGTTCTAAGGTCTCAGGTACAGTTACAACGGCTGTCCCACCCTTCAAACCGAAACGCATTACTGCTTCACGGCAGAAATAGGCGGGGTCGTGGTAGCTACCCGTGTGGTCTCACAAGAGGTCCTACCACCAGTAATTACGCAAATTCTAATTTTGTTTTGAAGCTGTCTCAGTTCCCATTGCTACTAGGTTTTATAAGCCACTGAGTTTATCGCCGAATTTTCTCAGTGGATCCGATCCGGTAGTAGATTCTGCGAAGCACTGCTCTTGCTAGGACCAGTGTTAGCAATTCAATCTCTCAGGTTTAGCCCGTGAGCTCACCTACCCGTCCGGGCGAAGTTCGAATAACCCCTTAAGCTGCCAATGATTAGGTAGAGAAAAAAGGTTTTATATTGTATTCTCACATATAACAAAATTATATTTCATATAATGCTGTATATATTATTCATATTATGTAAAGACCTACTACTATTATTAAAAAGATTACCCGTGTTTCAAAAAAGCAATTTAGTGTTTAAAAGTTTAGTTCTTAGGGAAACAAAATCAGTAATTACGAATGCGTCCTTTGCGAATTTCATAAAATCTATTGTAAAAAAAATTTAGCACATCGGAGTAACTCATTTACACTTATTAAAGTTTCTAACTTGATATAAACTATACCATTATTGTATGAATTATACCCACATATATATAATTATACCTATATAATTGTATAAAACTTCTGCCTATATTAAACACTGCCCAAAACGATTAAAAGATCGCCACATCGAATGTCGCAGTAAGTTGTTGATATTAATATTGTATTGATGATAATGTTTGTTTGTTCCAGTTGCCGAATCATTTGTTCGAAGAGCTGGTGATGGACATATACGACGAGATCGATCGAAGGGAAACCGAGGCCAGTAAGTACTGCGCTGTGCCCTACCCCGTTAACACAAGATATTGTACATGTCCACTTTGTTAATGAGCTCACGGCCCAATTCGCTTGAAGTGCTTACCGGAGTCCATAGACAAGATGTGAATGCCGCCAGTCTGTCGGCATTTCATAACGGCTGTCTCTTTTACAAACTGAAATTCAATACTGCTTCGCGACAGAAAGACTTGTAATTATACTGAGACCTTAGAACTTATATCTCAAGGTGGGTGGCGTATTTACGTTGTAGATGTCTATGGGTTCTAGTAACCACTGAACACCAGGTGTGCTGTGAGCCCGTCCACACATCTAAGCAGTAAAAATAAAAATAAAATGTGTGTGTGCAAGTCACACACGGTAGAAGTGAAAGTTTGGGACGCGAGACCGTGTGGAGCGCTTCGTGATTTGTCGGCGCCGCTCGGAGCCGCTTCGACAAGCCAATCGCGGCACACTTATTTTTTCGTTTCGTTTCATTTCGTTTCATCGAGTTTGAAATCGCCTACCTGTGCGTGTCCGTTTGTGCAGTCTGGCAGACGAGCGCGTCGGGGCTGGAGCGCAGCGGCGCCGCGTTCCTGCCGGTGAACCCCGCGCTGTCGGCGCCGCGCAACCAGGGCCGCCAGAAGCTGGCCCGCCTGTCGCCGCGCGAGCTCGCCGCCCTGCTGCGCGACGTGCTGCTCGACGCCACGCGCCGACAGCGCATGGCCGCGCTGCAGCCCGCAGGTACCCGCCTCGTCACCTCAACTCTACAACATTCCAAACGTCGGAAAATTGCAGTAAATAAATAATAGTTTAAAAAACTAACAAAATACGCTTTTATAGAAAATTCAACTAAAACATAGAAAATAAATTTGAATTAAAAATAGTGTAAGAAGAAATGATTTTATTGTAAAAAAAGCGTGAGGTGCTTTTCAGGATATTATCAAAATAACCCTCCTACTACTCATATCTGTTCATAAAATATTTATAATTACTGATACCATGCACTCCACGCTTTTTTTACAATAAAATCGATTCAACAGAGAAAAATTCACTGATTCCAAATATGTATTATATAACTCAATATTACCTTAAATGTCGCTTAAACCAAACAGCCTTGCACCCCTCGAATACACATTCTGAGTGCTGTCAATTATTTGTTTTTAATTAATATGTTTCTCACTTTATTTTTATTGATTTTGCATAACTCAGCACATGATAGATTGCGTAGTGTGACAGACAAGTGTATTATGCACACAGCGATGTCGGGTCCCCTGAATCCGCTGCTGTCCGCGAGCCACTTGCGGCACGTGTCGCAGATGTCGGACGACGAGCCGCTCTACGACTCGGTCGCTTCGGACGAGGACTACGCGGCCCTGGCGCCCATAGAACTCGACGTTAGTACTCTGAATTTTTTTTATTTTTATTTTATTGCTTTGATGATTGGACGAGCTCACAGCCCACCTGGTGTTAAGTGGTTACAAGAGCCCATAGACATCTACAACGTAAATGCGCCACCCACCTTGAAATATAAGTTCTAAGATCTTAATTATCATTATCATTATCAAAATCTTAGTAGTAAGTTCGTAAGCAGCGGCTTAGCTCTGCCCCTGGCATTGCTAAAGTCCATGGGCGACGGTAACCACTCCCCATCAGGTGGACTGTATGCTCGTCTGCCTACAATGGCAATAAAAAAAAATCATTAAAATTAAAATAAGACGACCTAAAGGTCTTAGTTACCAGGCCTAAAATCCCTTAAAAAAATCAACAGCTATCGACAGTGACCCCGCGGCGAGGGGACGCCGTGTCGGCGACGTACAGCCCGGGCCTGCCCACGGAGCAGTCGCCCAGCGCCGACCCGCACCGCACCCAGTCGCCCAGCTGTCCAGCCCAGGACACGCCGGAACGAGACGACCAAATACAGCATTTAAAAAAAGAACTGCACGACAAAGACTCGACCATAGACGAACTAAAAACTCAATTGAGGAATCTACAAACCATAGTCGAGAGATTGACTAAAGAGAACAGCGTTTTGAAGACGAGCAGCATTGATGACGACAGTGTGACGTCACTGACCGGGGAGAGCTGTAGTGGTCTCGATGGCTTCGCGGCGCAGGAGCGCGGCAAGAGTCTCGAGTCCGAGCTGGGCCGCGAGGTCGACGTGAGGCCGGCCAAGGGCTCGCAGCGACCGGTCAGTATGTATGAGACTAGGGAAGGCCCAAAGAATAACTGGCAGGTTACTAAACATCAGGTACTAATCATATATTAATTATACTAATTTAGTAGTTTTTAATACAGTTTATAAGGCAACACTTTTGGTTTTTTTTTATATGAGCCTATTTGCATTAGAATTGTTAATTTTGAATAAATAATTTTACTAGACGACTTGATTTAAAATTTGTTATGGACTTTGTTTAAAAATGTTGTCTTATAAATACAGTACGGGAACAGTTCTCGAAAACGAGGGCGTGCGCTGCTTTCGTAGTGAATACTGGGGCGGGGCTTCCAGAAGGTTCTGTCGGCTGCCTCCGCGGAAACTGTTCCTTTACGCCCTTGTATGAGTAATTTGAACAAAACTGATGGGAAATTTGTAGATACTTCTTACAAACAGTAGTACTAATACTCGAGAAATAATTAGGGTTTGTTTTTGTCTACTTTAAATATCTGAATATTTGTGTAAAACACAATACTATTTTAGTACAAATTTGAATTTGAAAACTCACTAAATTGACAAATACTCGTAGAACAAGTCCACGGCATTCTATGTGTTCCTGTAAAAAAATTCATAGCTTTTTTTTAGATGAGCAAAATAGCTCTCGGTCCATCTGGTGTTAAGTGGTTACTGGAGTCCATAGACACCAACAAGGTAAATGTCGCCAGCCCACCTGAAGAAATTAGTTCTAATTCTCGGTTATGTAGTATAACGGCTGCCCCAACCCTCAAAGCGAAACGCATTACTGATTCACGGCAGAAATAGACAGGGTAGTAGTACCTACCCTTGCGGATTCACAGGATTTCCTGCCACCAGTAAAGTCCATATTTTTATTAGAAGTTGTTTAGAAGATACGAATGCATCAGGCATCTTATCCATTATGTGACGATGTTATTATGTGTGATTATGTTCTTATGATTACGATCACAGAAGTCCGACCAAGTTCAGTGTTGCCAAATTAATTCTGATTTATTTCAGCTGACAACCCTGTCGAGTTTCGATCGTTCGTTGACCCAGAGCGTTTTGGAGGGTGCCAGCCCGGAAGACATAATGCCGAGCGCCGATCTGGTGCACAAGCGCGCCGAGAGCGTCACGCGCGGCATCCAGCAGCTGTGGGCGGCAGCGCGGCGCCACCAGTCCGGCGCGCTGTCCGGCCCGCAGTCCGGCGTGCAGCAGCGGGCCCGCGACACGCGCCGGGCCGTGGGCGCGCTGCTGGCGCTGTTCCCGCAGGTCGGTCCCCTGCTGCCCTACACCTACCATCGTTACACGTGGACTGCGGTTGACTAATACGATAAAAACTTATGCAGAAATTAGTAAATTAACATTGTTTCTTTGTCGGCTTCGAGAACGATCTCTTGATGCGTTAAGTTTACAATTGTCTGATGCCACATTTTTGTTTCCAAAATTCAAGCCCATTAATTTAATGTCCCATGTCTGCTGCCCATCCTGATACAAATAGAAGCCGCAATGAACAGAGTTCGCTGTCGTCGCAGTCTCGTATGGGCTACCTTAATCTACGATCTGGCACCCTGTAGCGAACCCGTAGCCTGAGATTGAAGTCTCCATTGAATTGAGGACTTCTGTGTCATTTTTCAAACCGATTGTAGTGCCCATCCGTGCGGGCGTAAAACACGGCCTAACAACCCGCAGTAACAGTCTAGTTGTCGCAGGACTGTGCAGGCGGCGAGCTGGGCGCGGTGCTGGCGGGGCTGCGCGCGGCGAGCGAGGGCGTGTCGGCGGCGTGCGACTCGGCGGCGCCGCTGCCGGAGCTGCGCGCGGCGGCCTACGAGCTGGCCAAGGCCACCAAGCTCCTGCTCACCCACTTCCCCCCCGCCCCCTCCTCCTAGCGACCGCACTACGCGCACTACACCACCGTGTAGCGTGCGCCCCCCCTCACCTCATGGAACTTACATAATAGTGCGCTAAGACGTCTGTGGAGGTGGACAAGCCGGACAACACTTACGAAGTGACGAGATGAGATGGGTGCTCTGTAACACTCTACGGTTCACAAATAATAATAATTATATTTAAAGAAGAACTAGAGCGTCGGACGAAAGGGGAGACGTATAACGACTTATGACGTCACAATAATGTGCAAAGTTTTGATCTTATACCGAATTTTTTTTTTTTCATTATTGTCCAGTTTAGTAAACAAACATGGCGGCTCGGTAGCTTCATACCTGTGTAGTTACGATAATTCATTTATGTTCGTAAACAAATCAAACGTCTCCGCTTTACGGAGTCTTTCGTGTCTATGTTGATGTAGCTTGATCACAGACCGACTAGAGTGGAACAGATAAAGTACAAATGTACAAAAATTATTAATAATTTTCAATTTTAGTTGTTAAATGTTTATAAGTCTTCCTATGATTTAGAATTATGGAGCACGATGCTTGGAACGAGGTGAACGTCCGATATAAAAGTGTTAAGAGTGTACAGTGTTCTTGAAGATAAATAATGCTTTACGCTTAGATATACGTAAGTAGCAGTAGCTAGACGGAATGTATTCAATTTAGTGTTATAAGGACGTTTATATAGACCGACTTATGTCAATCTTATTTGGATTTTAATGTGCGATTCTTTTTGGTGTTACATTAAATCTGATTGACTTTTCCTATATATGTATAGTATTGTATATGTAGGATTGAAGCAAACTGTATACACGTTAGCTGTTTGATATATATTATATGACATATGTTACAATACACAAGTGCCATGTCCATGTTGAAGGACGGAAATTGAACAATTGCAGAGCGAATAACAGATTTACTTTTGTTTTTATCTGTATGTATATTTTGTTTGAAGTGAAACTTCTTTAGGCGCGTTGAGAGTAAAATTTAACTCTCGACAGATTCGTTACGGCTACAGAGAACAGATAAAATTTAGGACGCGGGAGAGTGAGAAAATAGACAGAGCGTCTCGCTAACCGCTCGAACGTGGAGAGAGGAAGAAAGCGAGCTAGGTCGTTTCTCTTATATACAATCTGTTTCCGGGCGTCGGCCACTAGATGGCTCGTTATTAGTTTCTCATTGCTCCTGTAGATGACATTAACATATTAACTATCTTAGATTTTATTTTTGATGAAAGAATTTAAAAAATATATTTATTATTATATATGTATTTTAAAATAGAAATTTGATTTAAGCATGAAAAATGAAGAAGACCACAATACTGCGCACCGCAAAAGAAGTTTCACTTCTTTCACGCGCACTATTTTTGTTTTTGTTTAATTTTATTATTAAATTTACAATTATTTTAGCCTATGGATAATTAAAAAGCAGTATTGTTAAGATATCTGTCACGTACAAGCAACGGGGTTGCCATTGTAAATTTTGTGAAAGTGTTGCTCGTAAAAAAATGAAACTAAGTTGGTTGTGCTATCTAATCCGTTGTGAATCCGTAATTTTATCTGTTGGTTATATTTAAACTAACTTGGCTGATTGGCTTAATTAGTTTGTTATTATTAATACAAAAATCCTATAGGTAATCTATTTTATTTAATAAAAGATAAAATAAATTCCCACATGTGCATTATGTTTATGGAAACTTTAAGATTAAATTATGTTTCCTGAACCGTATAAATATAAATATAAGTCTAATAATATTAATAATAATATTGACCCATCGCTGACGTCACAATTCATGATTCTCTACTTAATTCTACGTCATTCCATTGAAATGTTGTGTTCGTTATAAGTACGTTCTAAATATGCTTAGCGGATGTACTATATATGAGACAAGTACACGATATTGGATAAAGCAGTTACATACACTTTTTACAAAAAAAAATTTGATGTCGTATAAGTTAAAAAAATAATTACGTACCATTATTTTGGCGTGTGCGTCCGTAGATTTGTTTGTATCCGGAGTTGCGTACGAGCGTCAATATTTCACAGACTTATTTCGAACCTTCGATACTTGCGTTAAGAATTATTTTTCGTTACGTTTCTGATAATTTAGACCCGCAAAATATTGGATACATTGTAAACGCTTTAATAGAAAGTACATGCCCGCTTCTATATAGTACGGTACCTAATTGGCTTTATCAGTGGCCTCGAGAGAGAGAGAGACCCAATTTGAACAGATAAAAATAGAAGATTCCATTATCAAGAGTGGATTGCTTGAATCCTTTCCACCATACACGGGCCCGTCGCATTAGTTTGCGTCTCTCAACCGTCCACGCCCCAGTAATGTTTCGAAAAGATTTTATAGAATAGATTAGAATACGAGAAATCATTTGAATCGGTCAATGCAGTTCTGAGATAGTTTTAAATGTTTTATGGGAATTTAGAGGGCGTTCTTTAGTTGAAAAACTAGTGTCCATAGAATTCGCAAGGCGCACGTGAATAACTACGCAATTGTTAGCACAGACTTTATGTTTGGTCCCTACCTAATCGTTGGTAGCCTAAGGGGTTATTCCAACTTCTCCCGGATGGGTAGGTGAGCTCACGGGCTCAACCTGAGAGAATTTGTTAACACTAGCCCTAGCAAGAGCAGTGCTGAATCTACAACCGGATCGGAAACGCGACCCATCGAGAAAATCCGACAAGAAACTCAGTGGGTCCGACTTGAAATAAAAACCTTCATAACTCCCATGAACGATTAAACAACAACATTTGAACAATTAAATTGTGTGGCCTTGTTGATTGTCCACAAATTTATGATTCGCCCTTTATGAGACCATAGAAATTTATCCGCCGCTTGTCGACCAGTGATTGTTGAGAGAACTTAAAGCTGCATCAGTGGCTTAGTCAAATTTATAAATTTTTATTCGGGATGTTTGTTAGGTTTGAGTTCTAAACTATACCAGTCCTTCGTTAGCGGATAATCCTTCTGGGATAATTTTTTGATGGACGACCGGAGGAGCCCATAGACATCTACAACGTAAATGCCGCCACCCACCTTGAGACATGAGTTCAAAGTCTCAGTTTTTACAGTACAAGGGCTACCCCGATCTTCAAACCGAAACCGAATCAGACGATACCCGATTGATTTTCATTTCTAATCAATTATTATCTTAAAAAATATTCACACCACATGTGCCCTTCTTCCCCTGTCCAGTGCTGATAAAATACCCAGTACATTAATGTTCGTGAATTGAAAAACAAAATCAATTGTGCCTAACTATTAAATATTTGTATTTTTAAACGTAATTAAATACGTTCGTAGTTTATATATATATATAAAGATACGTAGATTTTATATGAGCGTTACTAGAATAATGTTATTACATGTCGATGTTGTTGACGGTACACGCTGAACGACTTTTGTTGGTAACGATATTGAATCCCAACTTTATAACTTCGCAGGTTAATGATGAATTACTCAGTTCATATTACGACAGAGCAAAGACTAATCTTGTTACTTGTTAAAGATCCATTAATATTAACCTTATTAGTTGCTCTTCTTGAATTCGCAAGATATTTTTATTAACATTGCAAAAATCCATATTTTTACTTTAATATTCAAACTTGTTTGCAACAAAAGTTGTAGTGTGTACCAGCTCTTAAGGGTATAAATATATTGCTATGTTAACATTCGTATTAAGAGAACGTGTTCGTATATGTTTCTAAAAGTATTATTATGTGATCAATATTATGTGCCAATGTAACGTTACGTTTGGAAGCTTGAAGTTGTAAATCGTCGCTGTATTTCGAAATAAAAGTACGTAATAGAAATGTCTAATGAAAAGAAAGCAGACGATTTGTTAAGGTCCTGTCCACACCACATTTATTAAACGCGCGTCGCCGGCGCGCTTTTACCTTACAGAGCGGTTTGTTGTCGTTTGTATCGATACAAACTCGATGCTAACGCGCGTTTTATTCGCGATGCAAACGCGTATTTGAATTTATACAGATGTGCAAAAGTCTATAAGCTTCGTCTGATGTGTGCCTATCGCGTATGTATCGTTACAAACGCGCGTTGATGGCCCGTTTTGAGCTTACAGAGCGGTTTGTTGTCATTTGTATCGATACAAGCGCGATGCTAACGCGCATGTGCATCGATACAAACGCGCGTTAGCATCGCGTCTGTATCGATTTAAACGTTTACTTGAATTAATACAGGTGTGCAAAGGTCTACAGGCTGCGTCTGACTTGCGTGAGTATCGCGTCTGTATCGCTACAAATGCGCGTTGACGACGCGTTTAAAAAACGTGGTGTGCACAGGCCCTAAATCGCACTTAAAATTTATTGGAATTGTACAAATGAATAAAGTTGCACTTTTGTTAGTGAATGTACCAGTAAGCATAAAAAGTACATAATACAGTACAGTTTTAAGAATCTTTATATTAGAAATATATCCGTACTTTGTTGATAGTAAAGTTAACAAAAGAAAGTTCGAAGCAGCATCAAATAAATATGGTTGTATTGAATAAAAAAAAAGATTTTTTTAACGTTTATGATTATGATGATGATAAAGATTATTGATTTTGAAATTTATAATTTGTTTTTGTTTTATCATAAAGTTTATTTATTTATACCCTTTGAACCAAAAAGCAAGGTTATATTGCTTAAGAAATATCTATGACGATTCTGCTTGTGTCTAGTTACTTAGTACATCTAAGGAAATTTTACAAGATTCTTATTTCCCATTTACTACTATGTACGCTGTAATAAAATTGTCCGACGCTGGATGAAGCTGACTTGTAGATGGGAAAAGACCGAGATTCTTGAATTTGACTTTTATTTCTAAATGTTTCTCTTGGACGCTGCCGCCATTGAAGTCCTCGTGGCCTTTAGACCTTCATGCTTATTATCCTTTAGGATGAGACGCCCAATGCATTCGTATCGAGTGATGCGACTGCCGGTGTTCAAACCCCGCCGGCAAGTACCAATTTTTCCAATGAAATATTGATTTGACAAATGTTCACGAACCACTTTTTTTTTATTGCCCTTGTAGGCAGACGAGCATACGGCCCACCTGATGGGTGAGTGGTTACCGTCGCCCATGGACTTCAACAATGCCAGGGGCAGAACCAAGCCGCTGCCTAGAATGAATGAGGATTAAGATCGTGTAATAAAACTCAAATCCGTAAAATTTTATTTAAAATAAAATAGGGAGACTTATAACGTGACTGAAGGGAAGCAGTAATGCGTAATAAAAACAGATTTAGAACTCGTGGTTCAAGGTGGGTATAATAGCCGGCAAACTTCTTGAGCATTTGTCGACGTAGTGGGGGTAAGTTCGCGCATGGTACACCCACGTGCAAAAACAATATTTACTCTGCGTCATAATACTATTAAATTATTAAAATCAACATATTATGTATTTAATATAGGTTAATAATTGTAATAATTTAATCTTGGGGTAAATAGATATTCCTTCTATTAAGTCAAAACTAGAGCTGTTGCCAGGTCTTGGTTCAGTTGAAGCGAAGCTGGTATTTGTAATTTTTTTTTCGTTATCATAATCTTGACCAGCATCATCCTCAATGTTTTCATCACCCGAGTCGCTATCATCGTGATGAGTCGACATAGGGCTCATCGGTGTAGTTTACAACTCGGTCGGTTCGGTCTTCTTTTTTGTCTATAATTAATTATTTTTTGAAGATATTCGATTCGTAGTAATCGAATGTAACTTTTTT